TCATTATAAGATTCTTCACAAAGTAAAATATATATGTGGTATGAAAAGACGAAGATGAAAAAAATAATCACAAATATGTTTAGGGTCGATAATAATACATGCACAGTTATTAGTCTCTAAATAAATTGAACTCGCACGAATAGATTTTCTCTTGGATTGGGCCCTTTCGGACAAGTGCTGGGTTGGACTTTTCTGATTGCAATCATATTTACGCTTTCAGTATCAACTAAATAATCGGTTTAACGTAGTTGTTTTATAATAATTCGGTTTTACCAGTATATATAGGAAAAAAATTAATGTAACGCTTGTGTGACACATTTGTGTAAACTTATAAGATAGGCCTACATTTATTTGATATCTACTTCTATTGTTACATCACAAGAAGCGTTCAAGACAAACGAATATAAGCGATTCGTATTTCAAAATAACAACGCTTTCTGAACAATTATTTCTAACGGACAAAAACAACTCAAAGTCCCTCTATAACCAGTACTCCGCGCGTGACTAAACGTTTATCGCTCGTTTCGAGGCGGGGTCACGTGGCTGGACGATGCGAGAGTGGACTGAAAATATAACGAAATAAATAAATCGTTACGGATGTAACGAATATGCGAATGACCACAGTATTTGTAAGTGCACGCATGTACACATTTGTGAACACGCAAAATACGTGTACATACACTCAAACAACCAAAGTCGAAAGAGAAATTATATGCATACCGACGAGGCTTCTTCTGATCAGATAACTACTAATATAAATGTACATGTGAACATGTATACATGTGCCCACATGTAGGTCTATACACCCTTACACACTAATATCCGCACGTTTGCATATATTCACTCATGTTTACAAATGCGTGTATGGATGTAAGTATATACACACACATGCGCATATACACCTGTATGTATATGTACTCGTACACTTACATTAATTCACATGCGTATACACATGTAAACGAGAAAATACCAATAAAAGAGATGTAAAACAAGAAACAACCGATTTCATAAAGGGTCATCTTGTCTCATGTCTGGGTTGAACTGAGTCATTTTTGTTTGTTTTCTATACTTGGAGACTAACATGCATATCTTTATGCAATAAGGTGCGTTTCAAAAAGAATTGATAGTAGTTTCTACGGTAATGAGATAATAAAGATTCAATAAATAGTTACAGGAAATGAACTTCAGATATCCATCTTTTGTTTGTTTCTTTTTCGATCTTTAGTTGATCCCTCGTTCTAGAATTCTTAACCGACAAAATTTTTGAATGTATCGTTGTAAACCTCATGAAAATGCGATAAGAACTACTTATCGTCGAAATGTTGGTCTCATCAAAACACGCGAAATGTTGAAATATGTCATATTTACAAAAATCAAGGAAATCTGCAAATCCGTTTTTTATCTTTGAACATTTATCGATCTGACCCCCCCCCCCCTTCATTTAGGGACAGCCCTCCTAATTTCCTCTTCCTTTCCCTTCCATCTTCCTCTTTTCTCTTTCTCCGTAATTCTATCGTCAGCTTCTTCCTCCTCTTTATGAAGTTCTCTCTACGATTAACGGTGTACAAACTGTCAAAGCAAGGCAATGTCTAACAAACCAAAGATGATTTAACCTAAGCCAGTTGAATCTAACGAGTCTTACAAACCAAAGAAAATTTTACCTTTGCCAATTGAAACTAACGAGTAACGTTTGGTTTTCCGTTACGTGAGGTTAGATAAGGGTTTGGTTACGTTTAGATTAGTTAAGTTAAATTAGTTCTTGTTAAAATGTTTAGGTTTAAGTGGAGAGGAGAGCAAATCTGCTTGATTAACATACATGTTTATAGACAGTCAGGGTGATATGTATGCTGTACGTACATGCATACATCCATACGCAGACATACACATATATGCATACCTACACACACACACACACGCACACACACACACACACACACACACACACACACACACACACACACACACACACACACACACACACACACACACACACACACACACATTTATGTTAATATACAAACAACCAAGCACCAAAGTCTTATCATACCTTCACTGAACCATAAAATAAAAAAGGTTATCCAGCGTTAAGATAAATGACGTTACTAACAACATGAATGAAAATAATAATCGAAATAATAATTTTGTGGACGAATATCTGTAACCCACGTCTGGTTTGTTTGTTTTCTTTACATACCAAATTATTTTCTTTGTGTATAATGGCCTGCTACGGCAATTTAAGCCATTCATGTCCATATTGACATCACCGTTTCTTTATTGACATTACAAGGTATGACTTTTGTGAACTCAGTGACTAGCCAGCGTAACGTGTTGGCATTTTTCACCATGTGTTGTGGATATGGTCATTTTGTTGCTTTTATTGGCGTTTTCATAATTGCTGTTATTGATATCATTGCTGTTCTCATTATAACCTCTGTTGATATATATTATTATCTCCTCTGTTATTATTGTTACTAAAAGTATGATCATTGCTATCACTATTTTAATTATCGCTTTTTATCATCATTATCACTTTTATTGATATTATCATCAGCTTATCACTGCCATTACCACCTGTATTCTCAGTATCATTATAGTTCCAATCATCATCCTCATTCTATTTTTTATAAGAGAATTAGTATCATTAGCATCATATTTGGTTTTCTATGTTCATTGTCGGTTTTCCGAGCGTCTAACTACATAGGCCTAGTGATTTATCATAAACTAAATAAGATTATGGCTATAATACTTGCTTCATAAAGTAAAAATGTTTCTAGTTTCATTATTAGATAAGATTATGATTAGTATGAACCCTGTGCAATTCCATAACCGTTAAAAATATATACATTGTTTTGTAAGAGTAAACAGGTAACCCCCCCCCCCCACTCTTTCCTTAAGTTTCTTTAAGGATTCTTATGAAAGTAACTGATTTCTGCACTTTGTCAAACAAACCGAGGTGCATTTCGTATCGAGTTTTTACTACAAAAGCACTTTTCTTTAACGAATTTTGACCAAAAGCTTGCGTATTCACGCCGTGTTTCAGAATGGGGCCCACCAGATGAACGGCATGGAGTACGGTAGCTATGGTCATCTGCATGCACACAATGGTAGGATCTTTGCCACTAAAAATCATTCAGGGTATTTATTAATGCTTGGATAATAGCTTACGCATCGTCTCTCCTGCCTTGCTTATTGTTTCTAATCTGAGATCGTCTGTACCCAATAGAGTTTTTAGTTTTTCCTTATATTTGAACTAAGACTGAAGAATACTTGATTGATCATTTTAATTATTAGTATCAGCAGTAGTAGTAATATACTCATTATTAAATATTTGCTTCTCAAAGAGGTTGATATCGACACTCGGAGGTCAATGGGACCTTCCTAGGCCTAGGGTCGTTGACTTGCCAAAGGATCGAAAGCATGTCAACAAAGGTTTGATGTATAGCATGGTCACGGGTTTCGAAAACGGTTGGAGGGAAATGGAGTTGTAACAAAATAGAGGCAAAAGTGAATGAAGAATTGAGTAGAGGTAAAGAAAAATTGATGAAGTCTAATGTAGAATCAGCCTAGTTTTGGGTTGTTCATGTAGGTTTATAGAAGTTCATACACTTGTCCCTGGTGTGTTTTAATAAGGTGTGGAGAGTGCATGGATACACTGCCTGCCCATTGGTGGTCCCACACTCACAGTTTAACAGAATTTCTAGTTGTTATCCAGTGAGTGGGACTCAGATCCTTGTTAGAAGATTTAAGTGATGCTTTTTTATCCTAACAGATATTTCCATAGTTGATTCTACTGCAGTATATCCATTATCAGTATCATCATAATCACGAATTATGACCATCATTATCATCACCATTGCCATTACAATCATTTTCATAACCAATATCATCATTATAATGACCATTGCTGAAGTAATCCTTTGCCATCTTTTATCATCATAATTTTATTTTTTCACTATATTTTTCTTATGTTCATATCATAATAATCACTATCCTGAACATGAAATTTCAAGACGATATATTTTATGGTGATTAAAAGCAGTACAAATAAATGGATGAATTTGCATAAAATATGAATAGACAGAAGAAAGTGTGTAACGGAAGAGGATATGATGTGTGGAAGTCGATGAAAGAATAGAGAGAAGAAAGGGAGAAAGAAAAAAGAGTAATAATAGATAGGAATATTAGCAACGACAATATATATATATATATATATATATATATATATATATATATATATATATATATATATATATAATGATGGTATTATCAACAATAGTTACAGTAAAGTACGCACATACTCTTAAGAGATGCATGATTATGTACTGTTCTATATCATAAAAAAAACGTATTTTCTTTTCTCTCAGCTGAAGTAAAATTCAGTTAGTGAAGATAATCTATTCGTTAGTTTGTGAATGTTTGTAACTGGAACACATACGTTACTGACGTATTAACAAATGTCATTATTATGTCAATACTGTATTATTGCTTGTACTGTAGATATTTTATAAAGCGTTCGGATTCACGATTTTTCTACTCTCCCTATTATACTTATCATTATTAGCACTATTAGCATTAGAATTATCATTATTAATTTTATCATCATTATTATCATCATTATCAATATCATTAACATTATCATCATCATCAGTGCTTTTGTTGTTTTGTTAATATCGTTGCGTTGTTATCACCACTAATATCAATTAACACAACACCCCTTTATATCTTGACCATTAGCACAAAACAACTACCGAGTCAGCTGATCATTGCCAATGTCCAGATATCATTCCGTTTATGGTTGAGTGGAATTTTCCTGCCGACCTGAGTGACCCATGGCCGCGAGAGGTCATATTATTATCATTGCTTTTATAATTATCATTTTTATCTTTGTGACCATCTTATTATTACTATTGTTATTATTATTATTATTATTATTATTATTATTATTATTATTATTATTATTATTTATTATATATTATTATTATTATTATTATTATTATTATTATTATTATTATTATTATCATATTATCATTATTATTATCTTACTACTACTACTACTACTACTACTGATATTGTTGGCATAGTAGTAGTAGTAGTAGTATTGTTTTTATTAGTCATTATTTTTATTAATGTTTTCCTATTATCATTATTGTTATTATCATTACTATTATTATTATTACTATCATTATCATCACCACTATCATCATCATCATCTTCATCACCACCATCGTCATCACCATCATCATCATCATCATGTGTGTGTGTGTGTGTGTGTGTGTGTGTGTGTGTGTGTGTGTGTGTGTGTGTGTGTGTGTGTGTGTGTGTGTGTGTGTGTGTGTGTGTGTGTGTGTGTGTGTGTATGTATGTATGGACACGTAAATATACATATGTATATATGAATATATATATATATATATATATATATTTGTTTATTCATTTATTTATCTATTTATTCATTTACTGTCAAAATCTCCCATCCATTGATAAATTCCTTTTGTTTACCATGGATCAGCTGATTCCACGAAAACCATGCTTGTTTTTGAATTGGCGGAGTTCAAACAGTCGTCAAAGTTATTAGGCTGTTTTACGTAATTTTCGTATAACTTCATAATGAATACTTATATTAAAATGTTGTTCACATGAAAAGGTAATATTGCCCAGTTTCTACGTCTTGTTAGATTTTAATGATAGTGTTAAAAAGAGTAACTGGAAGAAATGATACTTCAGTGTGGCAGTAACAATTTGTTTGATTAACGTAAAATAACGCTTAATAGACCTTTTTTCATATAAAAGTGATGTTCAATAGTTGGATGTAACAACATGACATGACATGCTTTTGTGGTAGACATATGCTATATACATTATTTTGATAGCATAAACATTTGTTTATTTGTTTACACTGAGGTTTGTGTGTTTTTCACCTTTGACATACATACTTACTCAGTCTCGTAAAAGTCCCCAACTTGAAAGATTAAGCCATTGTACCTCATCCACAAACTACGACAAAGATTTTTGTATAAACCAAAATTCTTCCTACCACCTACTGATTGACATATTTCCCGATCATTGTTTCTCCTAAGCCAGTGTAGTATGTAGTAATAAAAATGTGTTCATGCATCACTGTAATGAGTTACGTACTACTTCATACATAGTGAGCAAATAATTAAATGCATATTACAGATACACAGTATTAGCCTTTCTCAAATTTGTGTGAGGCCCGACCCAATGAACATTCATTATACGGACGTGCATATACACTGAAATAAATGCATATCTATGAGTGTATTTATTGCAGTTTTTGAATCTCTATCAAGCACTGAGAAAAACAGTAGATCTTCACATTACCCCTCCTGCCCATTGACAGTCCCACACTTCCTCACATATACACACTTTCTCATACTCTCACAGACTTATACATAGACATTGAGTGTAAATGAATAAATGTGGGTGAGTGTTTGTGTGAAACTGGGTGTGAAAGTATGTAACCATCAATGGATAGGTGTAAAGAGACCTATAGAAAATACAAGGACATCCATGGACATCTACAAGCCTACAGTGACCCCCTGTGAACTGTTACCTTGCTATTGTTTGACCCCCATTTGACCCCCTACTCATTTATTGACAGCCTGTGGAGTCCATGACTCATGTTTGAGTCCTTAGATGATCCCATTGACCCCATGGGCTTGATACTGACCACTTTGAGAACTTGTTTTGAAATTTCAAAACTATTTTTCTGCTGTATTGCAGTGTTAGTAACTGACATACATTTATGATCTGAAGATAAATATGTGAGGAAGATAGCTTTCACACACATTTACATACATACATACACATTCACAAACCATGTATTAGTGTATCATTAACACATCATTGAGAGACCAGCCCAATATATTATATATCTTTTGTATAAGGTCATGATATCCTTCTTTTTTTTTCTTCTTCTTCTTCCTCAGGATTTATCATTTGCAGGAAACAAGATGATTGAACCATATGAAATTGCAGAGGAGAATAAGGAAGCATATACACAATTATGCCAAAAATTTCTCCAAAGCCAAGGCCTGTTTCAGTGCCAACACAGAGATTGGATGTCGAAGGTGGACCTAGAAGAAGACCTTAAAGAAAGGGTGGAGATAGAAGAGAAAGAGGAAAGGGAGGATAAGAAGGCATACAAAAGAACATTAACCCACACACCCAAAAAGCTAAAGACGGAGAAAAAGCCATCCTTTTCCTCAGAAGCTGATCCTGACCTAAACGAAACAATTATATGCGGGTCGACCGACTTCAAATCTCTACAGAAAAAGGTTGTGGCTAATATCAACACCTCGGCCAAATTGGACTTTGATGCGCTGCAGTCCATCGACCCTAAGACAGTGTGGGAAAGTGGTGTGCCGGCTCCTGCTGATGAGATTCTGGTGCAAGTGTGTAAGAAGTGTGAGAAATTAGGTGATAATGTTGTGAAGACTGTTTGCACTCTTCTTATACTGCCTAAGGTATGTTGTTTGTCGGAGAGATCTGTGTTCTTTATTACCTGATATTTTATACCGTAAAAAAGGAAAAAAAGAATCCAAAGATTGATCATCATCAGTGTATGTGATCCCCCTCACTCCCTTCTTAATGGAAATAAATATTTAGTTCCTAAGTAGCTCCTTTTCAAACAAAGAAAAAAAAATTGATAATCATAATCATAATGATAATGGTGATGATGTTGATGATGATAATCCAGTACATCATTAAAGAGGCATTTTCTTACCCTAACTCTTTTCCCCTAACAGCTGTATCAACTAAAGAGCAAACTGGCCACATCAACCTCCGATGCAATGACAGACTTTATGCGATGGCATCCCTCTACAACTGTGACACAAGCTCTCGTTCCTCTTTTGCAATATTGCCCTAACATGCAAGAGCAACACAGGGATGCCCTAGCTCAGTTAATACAAGATTGTTCAGCATCTTTAGTTACACAGATGTTAAGGTTAGTTTTTTTCTTTCTTTTCTTTTCTTTTCTTTTCTTTTCTTTAACCTAATGCCAATTAGTAGACCTATGCCATCTTTTCCGGTGGCAATAAGGGTGTCGCGCAACGCACCAGAACACCTAAAGGTGTCTCGTGATCAGAAGCGAGACAGGCCACTAAGCTCCACGCCTTTCTGTGATATAATGGAAATGGTGGCGGTTGTGTGGTGTTATAGATATCCAATATAAGTATGATTATGTATGAAATATCCAAAGTAGGAAGAATGCATCTGCCAACTCAATAAATGTTTACCGCCTACTGATTCCTGTCGCATGAGAGGTGTCACATTTGCAGTAACCGCTGGAAAAGATGGCACTAGTGACCTCACCAGATTTCACCATTCCTGGAGTTTTTGGGAAAATTTTATTTAATACCTATGCTGTTATTATTATTATTATAAACATTATAATTATTATATGTTATTGCCATCACAAATAGCAGTATAAGGAAAAAAATCCAGAAATGAAGGAAAAGGGTAAAGAGGTGAGATAGGTATGACAAGTAATTGGCTCATTGATAAGCAAGTAATTGTGGAGCCAACTATGTGTAAAGACAATTAACAAACTAAACTTGCAATGGGCGTGTCATGTACTTACATGTCATCCCCAACAGAAGCAAGTTAACTTAATCATGTTTTTTTAGTATTTGCTTCCAAATTTGTAGTGTCAGTATGTTCTATTTTGTTTCATTTAATTGTGTTTGATATGTTCATTATTTTTCTTTTTTGATGTTTTATCTTTCATTCCTCAGTATTAAGTATTGATTTAATAATTTCATTTGATATTCATTTGAAAGGCTTTTAGTTTCCAGTATTTTTGTTACATGTAATTTCTTTTTTCTTCAACTTGGTAATGTACTGTAATTAAATTTGTATTTATGTATCATTGTTTCAGTATGTCTTATGTGGATAATGTAGTCTGTTCTGAATAGCATGCATTTTCTAGAGACTATGGGAGTCAAAATCATTTCTGTATCCCTCTCTTTTGTTGTCTGGCTTCAAACTTAATACACATTTTTATTTAAGAAAAATTGAATTGGTCTTTGGTGATCTGGAAATGTCTTAAAATCTGAGAATAGTGAATGGTTAATGGTTGAAACAAATATATGTGCTAGACATCAAAGGTCATATAGAACTATGGTAAAGAATTGTGACAGAAAGGGTAAAAAATGAGTGAACAATTTGAATAAAATGTGTTAAATATCAAAGGTTATAGAGTGTTATAGGATAGTATGATGGGGAAAGGTTAAAGAGGGGGTGCAAATGAAGTAAATCAGAGATTAGCAAAGGAAAGGGTTAAGGGCACAGAGCGATTGTATCTGTGGCTAGGGTAGAGATAGCTGATAGAGAAGTAGCAGGAGAAGAATCTGGGGAGTTAGATAAGGGAACTGGGGAATGTGGTGAAGTATGAGAAATGGTGCAGATGGAGCAGGAGAGGATGAGGTGTGATGGAAAAGAGTGGAAGGAAGAGGGGTAGGGTGAACTTGAAGAGGAGGAGGATGGATATCGGTAAATACTTTGAATGTAGAGGGAATAGGAGTAGTGGGATTGGATCATGGATGATGGAGTGGAACATTCTCTTGGGTCATGTTGAGGATTTTCAAGAATTTCTGGAGGCAAGTTGGGTGATGGAGGTCTGAGAAACAGTTTCTCTTGTGAGGAGGAAAAGAGGGGATGATTGTTCAAGGAGTAGAGGACTAGGAGGGTGTAGGAGAGGATGTAGTAGGCAAAGATGGTTTGGAATGTTTAGGTTATTTAGTCCGACAGGTAAAGGGAGGAGGAGGCATTAGAGAAGTGATAGTGATTGCAGTACATGGATTTAGATTGGAAAGGAATTTGACTGAGGGAGAGGGGGAATAGAGGTAGAATGGTTCAGAGTAGAGGGAGGAGATACTGGGGGAGATGCTGAGACATTTTGAGAAAAAGGAGGGGAGCAGAATGAAGGACAGTTTTGGAATAAGTAGACAGAGAAAAGCCTTGTTGCTGTGTTCCCTATCTGGTCTTGTGTAAAGTGAGGTCTAGTTTGAATCTGAGAACTGCTACCTCACATACAAGCTTATAGGCAGGGCACCTCCTATAAAATACATTGTGGGAGCCACCACAATTGGTACACATACATGACTGAGCAGGGCAATTTGAATGGTCATGACCAGGTTGGGCACATAGAGGGTAGTGGGCTGTGGAGCAACAGTGTTGTCAGTAGATGTAGGGGGTATTAGTATCAGTGGTCTGAGCCGTGATCAAAGGAGGGGCAAGGGTCAGAAAACCAATGAAATCAAATTAAGTCAATGAAGGGCAAACCTTTATGGCCCTATTAAGGGTAAATAATTTTCATTTCTGGCCATGGTGAGCCTGAAATAAGTGTGGAAAAGAAAGTCTGCCCTTCAGGGTCCACTTAAGGGGCAAGGGTTATTTGATTAACCAAGGGAATACTGTGCTCATGGCTTCAGGAGGCTGAAGAGAAGAGAAGAGAAGGAAAAGGAAAGGGGGAGAAGAAAAAAACATGCAAAATGAAGGGTGAGGATGAGGCCTCAGTCCCCATTAAAATTTGAGCAATTCAAGGAATCTTGATACCTCCATTCAAGACTATTTTATAAAGTGATTTAAAGTCATTTTTTCTTACATTTTTCATGTTTGCTTAATTCTTTTTGTTTAGCGAGTACTTTCATTACTACAGTATACTCTTTCCTCTTCCCAACAAAGTTGAAAAAGGAAGCATTAACATATTTTCAACAAAACAAGATCTCAAACTATAACCTAAATCTGGAACATTGAGAAACATCATATGAGAGTTTAATCTGTTTTAGTTTTTTCCTTACAAAAGATTTTTGATGCACAATGCCTCTTCCTGATTACCATACACATTTAATTTTACTTTTCTGATTCTCAGTTTTTTAGTTCCAGACACAAAGGTATTCTTTTACTTTGGTTTGCATCTTCCATATGTATTGTGCCTGCATGTAATTTTTCGTTTCCCTCCATCATATTGTTAAAGTCAATCCACAAAACAATACTCTACAGTCTTTTACATTTTGAGTACATTTAATAAACCAGAAAGGTCTTTACATACTGTGCACATATTGTAATACAGAGATGGCTTTTTATACTGGGTGTATTTTATAATTCAATATCATCTTTTACATATGGGTACTTTTCTTTTGCTGTATTTTTTTTATTCTTCTTTCTTTTCTTTTTTTTCAATCCAATCTACAGAAGCAGTACATTTATTTATTATTTTTTATTATTGTTTCAAATGTATTTTTTAATTTCTTCAATATTTTTTGCATTTATTTTAGTCTTGCCATGAATATGAATACTTTCAAGAAATACATTTTCACACAACTTTTTGAGTTCTATTTGTTGCACCAAGTTACCTAAAGTTTGATATATGAATATATAGCTTATATGTTTTTCTCTCCTCGCTCTCTTTTTAAAGAAAATGAATATTTAGTTCCTAAGTAGCTCCTTTTCTCATTCTACCATTTACCCCCAGTGCAATATCAACCAGAGAGAGCACCAGCGACATCGACATCCAAATCTTCCAGCTGCTATGTGAAAAGGCCAACCACCAAGCCCAGGCAACACATGAGGCCACCCTCATGTACCTGGGCAAGGCTTCCGAGACCCACAAAACTTCAATAAAGTTTGGACACTGCCTGCTCTTTGTGGTCAAGAAAATGGGGTCTGTTATGCAAGATCGGGAGGGCTTGCAACACATTGTGAACCACCACAGCTCAAGTTTGAAAAAAGCAATTGAAGTGCAGCTTAAAAAGATTGATAGAAATAGATGATGGGCATAGTAATGTATTGCTAATATCAAGTATAATTGTTTTGATTTGCCTGGATGTGTCTGTGATAAAGTGTGATTAAATATTTGAGTAAGAACTTTCCACTCTTTCCTTGTACCTCTCTTGTACATGCTACACATAAATTGTATTAGAAGTGACTTGAAAACTGCACAAAGTTGATTACAAGTGAAAATTTCAAATATTCTGCCAAGATTAAACATGGTCTTTCACCAATACCCACACAGTAAGAAAAGGCATGAGATAAAACCAACAGTATTTAAAACAAATTTATTTCACTTAATTTATTCTGTACAAATAAAGTAGTCTATTTACCATACTTTATTACAATAAATTACCAGTGTGGTAAAATACAATCCTATCTATTGATTTCAGGGCCATGATGGTTTCTCTCCCTCGGCCAGTTCTCTTCCGTAGAGTGCTGATTTGTCCCTGAAAGATAAAATAAAAACAGTGAAGAACATAAATAACGATATATTTACAAAAAAATAAAAAATAAAAATAATAATAATAAAAATAAAAAGAATTTGTACAGAAAATACATAATATTACATCTGGGGAAATGCAGACAAAATATCAGAGGGGAACTAATGTGTGTTACTTAAAAAAAAAGCTGTATTATATGTATATGGCAGAATACAAAGTTAAAAGTATTCATATATTCTTTAGAGTATCTTTTGCAAGGCTAAAATTCAGACATATAAATTGCTTTTAACAAAGAACATTATCAATGCATAGCTACATAGCATGCCTAAATTAATTTGTCCTAGTTAACCCTTTTTACATAAAAATATTACTTGAAAAACATCTATTCCTGGCATCTGTAGTACTTTCTACACGTGTTCAGCTACCAGTAACATCCTGATTTCCCTGTTCCTTGAAAGATTTTTTTAATATTATTCATACAGATGCTATTATCATTATCACTGACATAATTATTACAATGTTATTAATAATACTAATAGCAATAAAAAAATATATTTCCAAAAATCAATGAAACTGGTAAACAGCTAAGATAGGTAGGATTAGGTGGGCATGGCATGTCTATATATACCATCCCTAGAGCCAATAGGTTAAGATTATAATGAGTAAACTGAAATTGCAATGGTTACACAAAAGTCTTATTCTGCATAAGTGAAAAGAGAAGGCAATTTTTTTTTCACTAAGAAAGCATATTAAATTTGCTCTCCCATTTATAACCCTACACATACTGGCTAGACCTTGACCTTCCTTAACCCACAATGCAATATCTATGGGACAAAATCTTACCTGAACATGGTCATTCTATTTGTCTCTAGGTTGTCGAGGAAGGACCCAACCATGAAGCCCAGTAAAGGAACAGACAGGAGCTTGAACATACGCAATTCAAGCTTGACATTGGCAAAGAAACTCATGGTGTAGATCTAAAGGGCTGTCGCAATACCTGGAAGAAATGGGACATGCCATTAGATGAATAATAAGGGCAACATTTGTAATAAAATGTGTTAATCTTTACGGTGTGGATGCACTAGGTTAGGGCAAACTGAATATGATATTCTTGTAAAGATCAAAAAGTTGTGGTTGTCGGTACAAGAAACAACTTGCAGACACAAACAGTAATGCATAAAAGAAAGGAAAAAGATCGTGGAAAGCACCTCTCTCAACCTAAGTCAACTGAGCAGACATAAATAATTTAAAGTAAAGACAGTAACATAGAATTGTTTCTTTCCCATTCAGAAATGATACAACAAACACTGTCATGATACAAAACCCCTAATCTGGATTGCTACTTATTCTATATCATTTCTCTACTGATTTACCATAACCTTTTTTTCAATAATTTGTATATTTACTTGTTAACCACTAGCTGACGGGTGGCATGTACATACATGCCATGGCTGTTGTGGACTGAAAATGATGCGTATCATGCCCATTTTAGACAATGGCACATATAATGAAGGTAAACCTTCAAAATTATAATATTTTTGTAAATTATAGCAATTTTAAAGCTTTTAGGTGCCAAATGTTGCCCTCAAATTACCAAACTAGCTGGGCACAAACAAGGGAAACTGCCAATGCACGCCAACAATCCCATTATTACGTCCAATTGCCAAACATTTTTACCCGTCAGCATTGGTTTCTTTACTTTTTAACCAAGCTTAATAACTAACGTGATTTACAGAAATGTGAAATGGAGCAAACAAAGGCCACAGAGACTGTCACCATTAGGTCAACTTAAGATTCTAGGGCTTCCTTTAAAGATCACTGCATGTTGCAAGGAGCTTTCACATGAAAATCAGCTAATCATAATGCGATAATGTTTGATTTTAAAAACTAGTGCAAAATTGTTGCAAACATTTAGCAGAGATGTATGTATTTACAAGGACATTCCAAGAGTTCTATAATTAAATGATACCATGCAACATGGTAATTAGAAGTCATATAATTTTTTCATGGACTTCTAATTTTCTCCATACAGGTCTTATGATAACCAGAACCAAATGTAAGTATATTTAGAACATACGATTATGCAATCGTGCTGGGTGTGTATGTATGCGTACACACGTACACACCCACATACCGACTATCATTTTCTTTTGAATTATAATAAACATAAAATCATCCCTAACAAATCCCCCCAAAATCCAAATCCTCCACGAAAATTGATCCTTTCACGACATTGGACTTTAATTAATAAGTAATAATAAATGACAATAAAATTATCGTAGGCCTAACTTCAATATTCCCGAACGCCCTACAAAATGCTCCAGAAAAGACACTTACCTTCTTTATCAACAACACAGACACTTGAGTACTAATAACCAATCACAAAAAGAAGATAAAATAATGGTACCTTCAAGCCGATTCTGCAAGTGCAGCGGCGGCCTTTTCGGCTTTCCACTTTCGAGTGTGTAAAATGTCTGCTGTAATCGCCGAAAATGTTACTAGCGGGAAGAATATAACGACTTTGTACTTTCGGAGGAAGCCTAGAGCTGTTAATCTTGGAGCCATCAAGCCTAAATAGGGAGAAAATGAGGTTGATTTGGGAATTATAACGTATTGCCGATCAGCTGTTTTGTACTTACACAACAACCTTTTCTCCGGTCAATATGGCCGACGGTGAGGCAGAGACTACGGGGTTAGCATATTATGATATTCGCACGTTTCGATGAATCAATTATTGGGTTTTGGTTGATTTATTTTTCTA